TACATTATCATTATTACTGTTACAACTACTACTACTACTTCTACTAATCATAATCATCGCTGTTATTGCTGTTGTTATATGTCATTCTTATAATCATTGTTATTATCATTACCACTGTTATTATCATTACTTTTGTTATCATAATTATCATCATTATCATAATCATCATTATTGTTATGATTATTATTAGTATTATTGTTATCATTATCTTTGTTATTATCTGCATTATCATCATTATTATCATTACCATTATTACTATTATCAATATTATCATTATCATTATCATTGTTATAATCATTATAATTATCATTGTTATAATCATTATAATTATCATTTTCATTTACATTATCATTATTTTTATTATCATTGTTATTATTATGATTATCATTATTATGATTACTATGATCGTTTTTATCATCATGATCATTAGTACTATTATTGTTATCATTAGCAGGAGCATTAGTAAATATCAATATAAATACAGTGATGGCAATATGAGTAATAATAATAATAATAATAATATTAATAACAATGATAATAATAGCAATAATAATAATGATAATGATACTAATAAGAATACTTACAATATAAATGATAATGATAGTGATAATGGTAATAAATAATGTCAGTAATAATAGAAAATAATAGATATAATGATAATGATAATAGTTCATTATCATCATCACTAATATTGTTATTGTTATTACTATGATAACAATAATGATAATGATTAGAATGATAATAATCATTAGAATGATGATAATGATTATGGTAATAATAATGGTTATAAAAATGATGATAAAGATAATAATAATCTAGAAAATTAAGAATGACAATAATAATGATAATGACAATTATTGTTACCAGTATCAAAATCATATTTATCATTACTACTAATATTTCATCGTCTTTATTATCATTATTACCATTACTATTATCGTCACTATCATTGCTTTTATTACTATCGTCTTTACTAATTTTGTCATTACTATATTATTGTTATCATATGTATTATCATCATCATCATCATTATTACTATTATGATTATCATTATAATTATTACCATTATCATTATAATGATTACCATCATTACCATTATTATCATTACTATTGTTTTTAATGATCGTCACCATCATAATCACTAATACTAATGTTATTATTCGTATTATTGTTGTTATCAATTTGACCATGATCATTATAGCTATCATTATTATTATTATTATTATCTTCATAATCTAAATTTCATCATTAACATTATCTTTACTATCAGTATTGTGGCCGTTGCTATTATCAGTAATATCATTATCAATTTAGTATTCTGACTATTTGTTTTATCATCATCGTTGCCACCATTACCATTCGTGCCCTGGCTGCGATTGTCAGTTGTGTTATCTTTGACATACCCACCACACAAAAAAGGGAAAATAAATGATGAATCTATATATTCACACACACACAAACGCACACACACACACACAGACACACATAAATGTCCAGAACGTATTTAGATGAACTGTCATATCAGCATGTATCAATTACCAAATGCCACTACTTACCATCAGGTCTTTATAATGGTTTAAATGTGTTTATATACTATAGTTTATATATCTTTGGTCTTAACTTACCTCCCAACTACACTGATTCATGCACAGTCTACACTAGTTACAAACACTACAGTAGTTTACATTTCAGCGTTAGTGTGCCTACTTCCGTGTATCTATGTGCACACAATACGGCTTTCACAAAATCACGTCCAAAGCTACCAGTCACATCCAGAACTACCGGTCACTTCCGGAACTACAAACCGCGTGCAAAAATCACTTTCAGAACTACCAATCCTTTCCGAGACTACCAATCACGGACAATCATCACTTCCAGAACTACCAGTCCTTTCCAAGACTACCAATCACGGATAATCATCACTTCCAGAACTACCAATCCTTTCCGAGACTACCAATCACGGCCAAATTCACTTCCAGAACTACCAATCCTTTCCAATCACGGCCAAAGACCACTTCCAGAACTACCAATCCTTTCCAAGACTACCAACCACGGCCAGAAAACCATGACCAAAACTACCTGCCTTATTTTCTCGCCTAATTACATCCACGCACATCTTCTACTGACTAGAGCAGCGGCTGCAACATCAAGTAAAACACCTAATTTAGGAAACCGGCACATCTGCCACATAAATCCAGTCATCCAATCTCCTTGCGTGGCGTCATTACCATATCAAGGGGCCGACCTTAGCGCCTTCAAGTGTTAAAGTCTATTCGTGGGAAGCTGGCAACGTTTGTTTGTCTAGGCTCTGCCCGTTTGTTATTATTATCATTATATTTTCACTCTCGGCATTTGTCTATTTATCCTTTTGTTATGATTATATATTTTTTTGGATTCTTTGTTTTATTTTACCTCAATATTAAAATCGTTTTATCTTTCTTATTATTGTATATATTTATTTTTTACTATCGTTTCTCCCCTTTTGATTTTCTCTTTATTTCCTATCAGTTCATTAAAGAGTTACAAACTGCCAGAGGAACGGAATGCGTTGTTTAGCTAGTGTTATCTTTCGTTATGTTTAGCCCTTATCCCCCTTGTGCTTGGGTCTGCGTCTGGGTCGTGTGCAAACAAGGGCTTTAAGGGGCTGAGTCTCGGCTATGGGACGTCGGCTTGTTCGATTAGCTTCTTCTTGGCTTAGTTTACCACGCTATCAGAATACCGAGTTCTGGTCGGAAGAATGGGAGACTTTTTAAAATATTTATATACGTTTTCGTGTATATAGATTAATCAGTGAATAAGTAAAGAAACGGATGATTATCAAGAAGATAAATCAATAAATAAGTTTATAGGTAAATAAATAATTAAACAAATATATGAATAAACGGATCGTGTGCGTGTGTGTGATGATAGTAACAAAGCAACATTAATAACAATGACAACAGCAATGACAATAATGACAATGATAATAATAATAGTAATGGCAATAACAACAATAGTAACAAAAATGATAATAATGATAATAGAAATAATAAAAAACAATGATAATAGTAATAAAAGCAATAATGATAATAATAATAGCAATGATAATAAAAATAACGATGATAACAACAGCAACAAAAGTAATAATGATAGTGATAACGATAATGGTGATAATGATGGCAATAATGATAACAATGATACCATAATGATAATATTAATGATATTATAACAACAATAATAAGAATGATGGTAATAAGAAGGATACTAATGATGTTGCTACTACTACTACTTCTACTACTACCAATGATAATGATAGCGTTAAGGACAATAATAAGAATAATAATGATATTGATAAAACAAACAAAACGATAACTCTATTACGGTTGATGATAATAATACTAATAATACAAATAACAATAGTTATGATAATACCATGATAATTATGAGGATAATAATAAAGAATAATAACACTAATACGAATAATAACGATGATAATAATAGTAATAATGATAATGATAATAACAATGATAATAGTGATAACAATAATAATGATAAAAATAATAATGATAAAAATAATAATAATAATAATAATAATAATATAAATAATAATAATAATAATATAATAATAATAATAATAATAATAATAATAATAATAATAATAATAATAATAATAATAATAATAATAATAACGATAATAATAATAATATAACGCATCAATAACATTAATAAATGAAAATAGCCTCGGACCTCAAATTTCGTGCAATGAGACTGAACCTACGAACTTTTTTTCGATACTGTGACTCTCACTTAACTTTCTAAAGAAATAATCAGAGGACGTCATATTTCATGATTCTGTCGCCGCCTGTGCTTCCCGGTGGTATAATAACCATGAGCGCGATGTGCTTTGTGTTTTACCGTGTGCTTGCGTCAGGTTCAAGTCAAAGTTGCATGGGTTTGAAATCGTGACGGACATAAGCTCCATTTTCACCAAAGAATCCTTTTTAGTCTTATGTCTCGTCTTCTGAGCCGGTATTTATATTTAGTTAATTTATTTCATTCTTTATCTTTTTCTATTTAGTTTACTGTTAAAGGGTAAACAGATACTAAGCAACACTAAATGCTGACAAGCAATCATGATCATAACTCGAAACAAACAAGAATACAAGTAAGTTTCAGTGAATCGAAATGTGCAGAACACAAGACCACCTTCGAGAGATCAATCTAAAATCACTCACTCATCCATGCATACATATATCCACATTTTTCCCTCCCTCCTTTTCATCTTTTTCTCATTTCCAACAAATCCTCTCCATCTTAATCTATCCCTATCTAGTTACTTGAAAGAGCATCCTGGGGTGTTACCTGCCCTAACGATCAACGACATTACGTTGGTTATTACCTGGGACGAAGCTGGTGGGTTTCTCATAGCGCTCCGCAATGTCATTAACTCGGCTGTGTTTGGAGAGAGACTTCTTGGGAGTCATCCTCTGGCGGGGAGCTGCAACGAGAACACGAGGGAAATAGGCCCATGGCGGAGCTACAGAGGGAGAGGCAAGATGCTTTATACACAGAGAGGAACGGGAAGGCTGCCTTCATAGACCCGTGGGAGTGACGGGGGCCTTAGAGAGATGAGGGAGACAGACCCGTGGGGTTGACAGAGGCCTTAGGGCGATGAGGGAGAAAAATGAAGGGTGTGGATGAGGGTGGGAATGTGGAAGCGTTTAATCAACAGGTTTGCTAATGATGAGTGGGTAGATGCTTGTGTAAATGATTAAGCAAACGAAGGAATTAAAAAGAATTAGACATGGTATGGCAATAAACGTTTATATAAATGAATTGATAACTAAGTGATGATAAATAGATTAAAGAATATACATAAGTAAGGATAATGATATTTGTTTGAGGTAAGGAGACAGAAAAAAAGGTATTTGACACCAATAATAACATATTCTAATAAAACAATATAAGGTCACAGGGAAAAATGATGCTTACTTATAATGAACAGAGATTATGATGCAGAA